TCCAGCAAGTTCCAACTAAAGAATCTGACAGACGAGCCGCCGCTGCCGCAGGGTTGTTATTTAGACAAGAGCAGGCTACGAGGACCGTGAAGGGACAAAAGTGGCGTGGCTAAAAACAAATGAGGAAAAAAGCGAATTTTTACTCTTTACTATTTTATAGTAACAATGCTTCTCTAATAATGATTTTAATGCTGCTACCACAATCTCAACCTCTACTGCTACCACTAACAACAACAACAACATTATTATTGTTGTTGTAGTTATAATAATAATAATAATAATAATAATAATAAATCCAAGTCCTGCTTAATAATAAAACCTATGCGGAAAACTATATATACAAAATCCCACTTTAAATATCGTATAATCACTGTGGTTGAATTTTTTTTCTATTACTTTTAATAGATCAAAGCTATTTCTTGTTAAAATTTTAAACTGTGGTTGTGGTGCTAACTGCTAAACGTTAGGGAGAAACAGACCAACTGTGTGGGGTGATGGAGCATATCTTCAACCTAAACCTGAGGCTGGGGAGAGTTCCACAGCTCTGGAAAACCCTTCTGTGTTGTACCAGTGCCAAAGACTATACGTCCGAAGGCTCTGACATCCCACCTGATGCAGGCTCAGCTTCGGCCTCTGGTGAGCTCATCACTGGACCCACTTCAGTTTGCTGGCATTGGAGTGGATGATGCTGTCACTCACCTTCCACATCGTTCCGTCTCTCAGCTGGAGACTGCTGGGAGCATTGTGAGAATCATGTTCTTTGATTTCTCCAGTGCCTTCAACACCATTCTTCCCACAGTTCTGAAGGAGAGCTGGAGTACACAGTGGACCATCACCTCACGTCATGGATACTGGGTCTACCTCACCGACCGACCACAGTACATGAGAACTCAGAGCTGTGTGTCACACAGGGTTGTCTCCAGTACAGGGGCCCCACAGGGAATGTTTTTGGCTCCGTTACTCTTCACCATCTACACTGCAGACTTCTCCCACAACTCCCAGTGCTTCCTTCAGAAGTTCTCTGATGACTCTGCAGTATTCGGCCTCATCACTGATGGGGATGACAGGGAGTACAGAGAACTGACCCAAGACTCTGTGGACTGGTGCCAGCAGAACTACCTCCAGATCAACACTAGAAAAACCAAGGAGCTGGTGGTAGACTTCTGCAGGCACAAACATCCTCCACTGCAACCACTGAACATCCAAGGTATGGACATTGAGGCTGTGGACAGCTACAGGTACCTTGTTGTTGAACAATAAACTGGCCGGACTCATAATTCAGATGCAGGCTGTACCTGCTGCGGAGGCTCAGGTCTTTTGGAGTGAAGGGCCCACTCCTGAAGACCTTCTATGACTCTGTGGTGGCCTCAGCCATCTTTTACAGTGTGGTCCGCTGAGGCAGCAGCATCTCTGCTGGGGACAGGAAGAGACTGAACAGGGTGATCCGGAGGGCCAGCTCTGTTCTAGGATGCTCTCTGGACAGAGTGGAGGTGCTGAGTGACAGGAGAATGGTGGCTAAGCTGTCATTTCTGTTGGACAACATCTCCCACCCCATGCAGGAGACCCTGACAGCACTGTGGCATTTTAAACCATGACATTAAATTCTAGAGGAAAAAAAAATCATATTACCCTATAAAAGAAATTATATCCTTACCCCATAAAAAACAAATACAATACTTGAATAGCAAAACTATTCTAAACATCGTTTCTGCTTTAAATGTATTTATTCATTTATTTATTTATTTAGTGCGACTTCTAGAAATGGCCAGCAGATGGAACCCCGTCCATTGTTCACAACTCACTTTCAACTACAGGAAGGAGGTTTGGCACTCTAAGAATCCAAATTAGTTGGAGAATTCAGGAACAGCTAGGCTGGTGGAAGAATAACTTCCAAAGAGAAAAATAAAACATTTTGGGGTAAGTTCATCCAACTAGTTGTGTTTTTTGTTTTGTGGTTGTTGTTGTTTTTTTGTTTTTTGGCTAATTTGACACTCACTTGCCACTTTATTGGTATAATATCTGTTCAACTGCTCATTAATGTAATATCTAATCACCAAAACATAGAGCAGCAACTCGGTAAAAACAACCTGCTGAAATTCAAACTGCGTATCAGTATGATGAAAAAAGAGTGAACCTGGCATGACTATTGGTGCTGGTCAGAGTATTTCAGAAACTGCTGATCTAATGGGATTGACAAAGAATGGCCTGAAAAAGAGAAAATATCCAATGAGCAGCAGTTCTCCGGACAAAAATGCAGCCACTAGTTATAGCCAAGGTATGCAGAAGAGCATCTGTGGACACACAACATGTCGAACCTTGAAGCAGATGTGCTACAGCAGCAGAAGACCGCACCGAGTGCCACAGGAAACCAAGGCTGTAATTCATATGGACTCACTAACTGAACAACAGGAGAGTGGAAACGAGTCTGATCTCAGGAGTCTTTATTTCTGCTGCAATGGACGAACCAATCTGTGTGACACTATCACATCAACATGAACCAAAATCCCAGAGAAATCAGCACCTTGTTGAATCTGTGCCATGAAGAATTAAAGAGGCTCTGAAAGTAAGAGGGTCCAACCCAGTGCTGCTGAAATGTATCTAATAAAGTGGCTGTTGAGAGAATGTGATGTTTTTTTTAATAATAAAAAAAAACAATCAAAAAAAGTTTTTTTGTCCCGACGATCATTTAAATTAAAGCTAATTTATACAGTTGTTCATAAGTTGTCCAGTTTAGTACCCTACTGTGTTTGAAGACAGCTGCCAAATGATGAGACTTGCTTTTCAGTCAGATCTTTATTTGTCACCTTTATCTGTCATATACATATCTCAAGACAAAATCATATACGTTTGTCAGCAAAGCAAACACCAACAATAATCCTGAATCCAACTTCAACACACATGTTTTGACTTAACATAAGCTCCACAGCATCTGATACTCCTCTTTCACTGTAACAGCAAAAAAAGAGATAAAAGTTAGTGTAGTATAATGTCACAGCCTTTGTATCCTGCAGCGACAGGTAACTTAAACCTGTTTGTCCCACAAAACCGAGCCCTTCGTGAGGCAACAGCAAAACTATAATAAACTTCACAGGGCTCTATATATAAAACACTGCTTGATCACAGACAGACTAAACAATGCAAGCTACATTTAGAAACTCTGTTCTTGAAATGCTAAAAAGAGGGAAACACATGCAAGCTGCAGATATACTACAGATTAATACAAAGGCTAGTATTTGGCTTTTGAGCGCAAGTGATAAAATATCATTAAAAAAAAATAAAATAGGTAAAGTAACTTCTTTAGATAACTTTGTATAGAAGTGCATAGAGTGATACTGGACTGTAAAATGAATACATGTCAGTACATTAAGGCCTTTGGTTGTAAGATTTACAGCCTCTGTTTCACCTAAGCAGCCAATGAAGCCACACAGGTTGACGGGATGAACAAGATAAAAGAAACAACTGACAGCCATGTACTGAGGCGTGGCTGCTCAGGCCCATCTTCTGACTGTGTCAGATGAATCTGTGGGTGTTTGAACCGCTTGTCCACCCGTTACATGCTGTGGATCATTAGAGAGTTTAGAGTAAACACACAAGTTCAGCAACCATCGACTTGTTTCAGCTTATAATGTAGCAGTATAGTGGCAACTAGAGAAAAGCTGTGTGTGTATGTGTCTGTATAATTACTTGGTAACTCTGACTGATCCTCGCTTTCTGACCAGCTTATTCAAACACGACTCCCTGCTTCTTCATGGTCAGTGGAGCGAAGTGGAATACATTACATTAACAATATTCACAGCATTCAAGGTTTGAAGCCCAAATTCAACATTTCACACAAACATGTCAGCTTTTTGTCCTTCATCCTCACAATCACATCCAACGAGCGGGAGAGACTAAAGGTAAAGGTAACAACGATGATGTCAGGTCTAAGGTTAGTCCGAGTTTTACACTTAAAATTAGTCTAAAACACATTCAGTAAGGTTTTGGCAATAGTAACAGGCAGTACAGTCAGAATACTTATATAATGAAAACACTTTAAATAACTGCAGCACTGAGATGCTGGCAGCTGTACCGGTGCTGAGAAATATATAGACCAGGGTGTGTGTGTGTGTGTGCAGCTGTAGACCACATATCTATCAGGCACTTAAACTCACAATTTCTACAGTTGTAACAAAAATGTAACAAGATAAGAGTTAAACTGCACTCTCGCTGATTTGGTTTAAGGCTCATACACAATTTCCGAATTCAGTCAGCGGTCAGCTATTGGCAGGCACGCCGAGCCAGCCGCTGGAGATTTTGCTGGGCGTCTGACACCTCTGGCTCTGGACTGACTGAGCGAGCATGCTGAATGGACAAGAGCTGATGGAGAGATGAGCTTTTTATATAATGACTCTATTTGTGTTCATCCCAGTTTATTTATTTTTTAATCTATGACATATCTTGTAAAATTCCCTAATATAATTAATTATGAGTTTCAATCCCTGCTATGTAAAAAAGGGGTTTGGCTTAGGCTTTGCCTCAAGGCTTCTACAGCAGTAAATTGGGCTGCTGTAGGTGTGTTTGCCATGGTTCACTGCAAAACACCACAAGTGGAAATTCACAATAAAACCCACCCCAGCAGTGTTATATATAATAACTTTCTATCAGCTGTGCCACACCAATAATTACTAATTCGTGGCTTATTAATAGGAAACCTTGAAAATAAGCCCACTCGGTTACCTGATGGTTACAGAGGAATGCCTAACAGAGGGAGGGACTGTGTAATATGTCAGGTGATCCGTGCTGTGTTAGTGTGTGGAATTTAGCCTCCTCAGTGTTTGATGAGGCCCTGCATCATCTCCAGCGGCAGCGGGAAAATGATGGTGGAGTTCTTCTCGGCAGCGATGGTGTTGAGGGTCTGCAGGTAGCGCAGCTGCAGGGCGGACGGAGACTCTGCGATCACCAGGGAGGCCTCCTTGAGCGCCCGCGACGCGTTCATCTCCCCCTCGGCGGCGATCACCTTGGCTCTGGCCTCGCGACTCGCCTCTGCCTCAGCCGCCATGGCTCTCTGGAGCTGGAGGGGCAGCTTCACATCTTTGATCTCCACCCTCTCCACCTTGATTCCCCAGTCATCCGTGGCGTCATCCAGTGACGACTGCATGCTGTGCGCGATCTCCTCGCGGTCGGACAGGATCTCGGCCAGGTTCTTGGTGCCCAGCACGTTCCTCAGGGTGGTCTGGGCCAGCAGGCGCGTGGCTGCATCCGCGTTAGTGATGTTGGCCACAGCCAGGGTGGCATTCTGGACGCGATAGTAGACCACGCCATCAACGCTCACTGTCACCGAGTCTTTGGTCAGAACCTCTTGAGGTGGGATGTCGAAGGTGATGGTGCGCATGTCCACGTTAATGAAGCTGTCGGTGCACGGCACGATGAAGAACAAACCCGGTCCTTTGGCTCCACCACGCAAAATGCGCCCCAGGCGGAAGATAATGGCCCTCTCGTACTCCTTCACGATCTTGATGCACATCCAGATAGATAAGGGCAGGGTGAGCAGCACGAGGAGGAGGGAGAGGCCGACCAGCAGCCAGCCGCAAAACCCGATGTCCGAGTCAGTATTCTCCAAAGTTACCTGACGCTCACGTCTCCTGGCTTCTTTCAGGGCGGTGTCCTCGTTGTCGCCAGCCATTGTCTGGGCCCAAAATCTGAACTAACTGTTAAGCTGAGGTAAAGATGGCAGTAGTTTACTGGAGCAGCTGCTGCGCACTCCTGAAAAAACACAAACAGAAAAAAACTACACAACGATTACGCAAAGACGCAGGAGACGGAAATGGAGCTGATGATGCCATAATCGTGCGCCGGATGTGTTGCTATTCCCCGCACAAGCCGTGAGTGCTGATGTGTTTCAAGAGTCTGGACGGGTTTAATGCAGTAACGAGCAGAGCGGCAGCGGCGGCTCGGAGGTCGATGTCCAAGAAGACGGCAGCGGAGGAGAGCAGCAGCAGCACCGGTCCGGAGAGCGAATGGCGGTGAGGCACACACACACATGCGGCAGAGCTGAGTAGTTCACTTCCACATTTCCTCAATGCTGTACCGCAGCTGATGCACCGACTCAGCTGCAGAGAGCATCAGAAGCCTGCGGTTTGTTCTGCGATGGCGTGAAAACAAACTCAACACAAGAATCTGATTTCTGTCACTTTCTCACGTTTGATCTCTCCCACCCCGGCTCCGTTCACGCGTGCTGCTATGCAGTAGAGGTGGAAGGGATCGATCCATGTATCGGGAGTGTCGATACCGACGCTGGTATTGGACACTAGCGCGGATACTTTGTTTCTATCCGATTCAGTTCAGCTGTGTTAAATTATTATCATAATTATGGGGGGGAATTAAAGAGAAATACCTCAAATATACACTATGAAAAAATGTCTGAACCTTTTCGTTTTGAGTCCCATGTCTGTTTTATTTTATTTACACCTTATGGCCACATTGATACCACAGAAGCTGCCCTGTCCCTGAAGCCCAAAGTGCTTTAAAGACAGGCACATTTACACTCCAGGTCCCCAAAATACATGAAAAGCTGAAAGGTGTGTTTTGTTGTGTTAACTCATTTTACTAAGTAAAAATCACAGTGATTTGGTGGTCATTAAAATGTGTTCAGAATATGCAAATTGATGATGATTCATGTCATAAATCATGACACACTGCTCTCCCCTACATAAGCTGCCTGTACAGGTTAAAAGAATTGGTATCGGCAGTATGGGAGAAGCGTTTCATACAGACAGGCACCAGCCAGCCAAAAGGTTTGAACGCAGGACCTTCTTGCTGACGCACTGCCCTGCATCAGACAGATACTGAAGGTAGATGAGTTTAAATACCTGGAGTCAGTCATACAAGACAACAGAGAGAGGTGAAGAAGAGAGTAGAGCAGGTGGAGATGAGTGTCAGGGATGATCTGTGGCTGAAGAATAGCAGGAGGTAGAGGTGTCTGAGATGGAGATGCTAAGAGTTTCATTGGGAGTGACCAGGATGGGCAAGATTAGAAATGAGTACATCAGAGTTAAAGCACAGGTCGAGCAGTTCGGAGACAAAGTTAGAGAAGCAAGGCTGAGATGGTTCGGACATGTATAGAGGATATATTTAATAAAGGATGCTGAAGATGGAGCTGCCGGGCAGGAGGAAAAGAGCAGGAGCACAGAGAAGGTTCATGGATGTAGTGAAGGAGGACGCACAGAGTGTTGGTGTGATAAAGGGGGATGCTAGGGATAGGGTGAGATGGAGGCAGATGAAGAAGAAGAAGGTATTTAAACATCTTTTGGTTTGGGCCTGTATTTTTGCAGAGGGAACAATAAACAGAGCAAAGGCAAACTTTTAATGTAATCACATAAAAATGTGCATTAAAATCATATTTTACATTGAAGACAAAATTGATCTTGACAAAGACGATTACATTTATCTGCTAAAACCTTCACACTTCATTCATTACTGATACTGTACCCCTACACTGATATTTAGTTATTGTGCATCATGTCAGATATCATCAGTTGAAAACATAATGAAAAGGTTTCATGTGAGTGGAAGCTTTAATCTGTGTTCCTTCTGTAGGGCGCACTTTTTAAACCTAATTTTGTTTTTTATATCACAGTAACGTCGTATTTAATGGACTGAAGAAGTGAATTAACGTTCTGAGTGTATGCTCATGCATTTGTAAATCGTACAACCAGTAGATATGGGCGACATGGGGAGTTGCCCAGGGCGGCATCGTGGTAGGGTCAGCATCATGGCATCCGCAAAAAAACAAGTTGCACATACCCATGCTGCCCCGACATCATAACAGCGCATTTTGGGGATTGCAAAGGCACTGAACGGTTTTCTATCGCCCCTTTGCGAGGATTAAAGGCGCCCTTTTTGAATAATTAAACGGCGTTTAAAAAAAAAAAGCCATTTCTTAACCAGAGGTGTTAGAAAACTCGCAATATTTGGCTGGAATGGCTCCTCTGGCTGGTTGGAAAAGCGTGAAAAATGTGCTTTAAAGTGTTTACATTAATTTTGGGGAAAATGAAGTGTAGTCCAAAATATGGACTGTTCATATAACGATATATATCGGATGACGATATAAAAACGTCTATCGTTTCATTTTACGCTATCATTTGTTTCGTGGTGTCGCAAAATAAACTGTTTACAGCAATATCTTTTCATTATTTTGATGGTCACTGTAGTGGCTATATTAATTTCTTAAAGTTTTCTCTTTCTCTTATATTTTATATAACAACACTACGGACGGACAAGCGCCTGTTTTTATGCAACAACGTAAAACCATCGCATGTCCGCTTGTTTATTTTCCACATAAACCTTTCACAATAAAGCTCAAGATCCTGTTGAGACTTTCAAAATAAACGGAATCACGTGAAAAAGTATGCAGAGTATTGACGGATGAGAAGCAAAAAAGAGCGTCAGGTGCTAAAAAATAAACCTTAGACTCAAACGTTAGAACAGGCTTTTCCCCGCAGCACGCCGTGTAATAAATACTCACAAAGAAAACGGCGGCCGTTACAACTTATGTCTAAAAATGTGTAGTTTCATGCATCGGTTAAAACACTCGACTCCAGTTACACGACGCCCAGCTGGAAACAATTCACCTACCCGAGAGTCACAGAATTTACAGAAAATATAAAATTTTTTCATTATTGGGACGATAGATGTTTTATATTGGGATATGAGATTTTGGTCATATCGCACAGCCCTAGTCCATATGCTTTATGTCCAAATGTAAGTGGGGCCAGTGGAACAACCACTGTGTTACTGTCTTGTGGTGCTTTATCATCACTGGAGAGAAGCTCGAGTCCAGAGGTGACATCTTCGCTAAGATTACCTGCTCATTTTAAGACATTGTTCCCTACCTAGTTGTAGTCTAATAACTCTGAAGACGTACACACATTGGTGGTTTAGATGAGTTGAGTTCTTCTATTTCAGATATTTATGGTAGAAGCTGATAGATCCAGCCAAACACCATACAGTAAGAAAGAAGTATCTGAAAGCTTTTGCGCCTGCCTTAATTAAAATATTTGGATACGTATGGTAACGCTGTCATTGCCCTCTGTGTTTTGCCCATCAGCCCAAAGGTAAAGTTGGCACGAAGGGAAAGAAGCAGATCTACGAGGAGAATGAAGCCACTCTGAAGTTCTACACGAGAGTCATCCTCGGAGCGAATGTAAGAGGCTCTGTGTTGTTTTTGGATGTTTTCAGTCATGTTTTCAGGCCTTTACAGGGTCTCCAGGGTGAGAAATTGATTCGTAGGGGATCAAAGCGTGTTCACACTTCATTTTCTGAAGCTTTGACTATTTGGGACACTCAGATCTAATATCAGTTTAAGTCTCACTCAGGATTAGGGGTTATTAGGGGTGGGGAAAAAATCGATACTGTGTAGTATCGTGATATTTTGTTTGCTAATAATGTATCGATACAGGGACAGCAGAAATCGATATTTTGTTACAAAAAAAGTTTTTGTGGACTGGAACTGCCTGACTTCAGAGCATGTTGATCCTTTTTCTGAGCAAGAATCCTGACATTCCTTCACTGTCCAAATGTGTTTAACTTTTTTTTGGCAGCAATAAACATGACAGTTTACTTATTTTAATTTAAGACATGTTTTATTTTAATTAAGTTTAAAACTTTTTTATTTAATGTAAAATTATATTTTGTTTTAATTTACTTTCAAATTCTTCAGTTGCTGAATGGGCTGCATAGTTTTCATAAATTGCATAGTTCAGAATAGCTATAATTGTACCAGATGGTTGCATTCAGTTAAGTTGGACTAGACTGTAATACAAACCGTTCAGTTTGTCAACAATAAAACTGACTGAAATGAGAGAAAGACTGAGTGTGAGACTTTGTTATTAGATAAAATGAATATTGATAAAGTTTACCTTTATGTACAGAATCTGAATATCGCAAAATATTTTTAAAAAATTGCAATAATATCGTATCGTGCGTTAAGTATTGTGATAATATCGTATCGTGGGATGTATGGTGATTCCCACCTCTAGTGTTTATATATTGATTTAGGTGCATTTTTATTTTAAAAAATGTAATTCATAATTTGTTTGAAATAGTGATCGCAGGTCTCTTGTGCTCCTCTGCAGGCGATATACGCCGCTGTAAATTTCTTGGTTTTCTACAGTTCGTCCACATTTTGGACATGGGTGAGTTTATTTAAAGACCATAATTTAAACTGTGAATGTCCGCAAATAGGATTGAATGTTTCTGGCTTTAAAACTCTTCTACGACTCCTCTGGCAGTTGCTGCTCGTGTTCGCGTTGGCGGTGTACGTCGGGAGTTACCGCTCCATGGCAGCCATGGCCAAGCCGGCGTTTGCTGACGACGGAAGTCTCCTGGACGGAGGGATAGACCTAAACATGGAGCAGGGAATGGCAGAGTAAGTCGTCTCTCGTCCCCCCTCTAGTGCACCTGTTGATAATTTCATAAAGACCAAAGCAGCTGAAACCGATTAACATCCTGACCAGATCAATATCCCACAACTTTAACTGACTTGATGCTATAGTCTGATTAAAAAGTGCTCCTTCATCTTTTTGAGCGCTTTATAAAAGTAGTTCAATTTCAAGCAAAGGCTTCACCAGATTTAGATTTGGCTGCTGTCCCGTACAACACCGTCTTCTCCAGACATCAATAGAGAATCTCTAGTGGTGATGGACCTCTAAATTGTCCATCACAAATCATCAACCTCTGTGTCTGCCCGACCTGACTTTTTTGTGAGGAGGAACCTCATTGCGGATGAAAACATAGGAAGATTCC